AAAAAAAAAAAAAAAAAAAAAAAAATTAAACATTAACTTAACCTTCTCTATATGTCCTCAAGTTCAAGTAAATTTCCTTCTATGCTAAGCCAACTATTTTTAAATTGCTGCCTGAGTGCTCCCCATGGGATATCCTCCAAAAGGCCTCTAAAATTTAACTTTGGGCTGTTAATCAGGCGTGTAGTCTGTATAAAGCCACAGGATTAACCTGACAAGAAAGCAGAAGTGGACACCGAAATCATCTGGGCATTACTTTGCGCTTGGAACAATGTAACATCTTTGATATGAAGTTGTTTGCCATTTATTCTTTTTCAAATTCCCACCCTTAGCATATTTCTTAAAAGCACTGCATTTCTAGGTACTTTTCTGTATTTACATGAGCATTTAAAATTACATTTTGATAAAATAAAATGTTATCCTACTCTCCTATATTACCTTTTGGTTTGGAACGATCCTGGTAACATAAATTATATTTGCTTATTTTAATAATTAGGGATTTTTAAAAAAGAAGAAAAATGTCTCAATTCATCAATTAGCCATATATAACATTCTTTAAATATGTCTATTTAATATTAAGTACATCTAATTCTATATGCATTTTATAAAAGTAGATTAACAAAATTTTGGACATTCTGATTTGATGTTGCAGTTACATTGATTCAGATTTAAACTAAATGATAAACTAAATGTAATAAATAAATAAATTTTGTTTAAACGCACCTCCTCCTTGTATCCAACCATTCTGTACTACTCGATGAATAATTGAACCTTTGTAATGTAGTTTTATGCCACTTTGAGAATACCCTGCTTTTCCTGTGCACAAGACCTTAAAATTTTTACAGGTTTTGGGACATACATCACAGTATAGCTGCAAGATAAAGATAAATATTTTCAAAGATTATAGATTTAACATTTGACAGTTATAAATACTATACCCCAACTTATTAATAAACAAGAACAGAAACTTCTTACCTCAAAAATCAATCTTCCAGCTGGGGAAACATCAATAACAATGTCCAAGAACACAAAATCATGCTATTAATATTAGGAATAAAAAGATAATACGGGTCAACATCTTTAAGAAAACTTTAGAAATGACCAAAGGTACAATAGATACAACGTTTGCAGTGATAAGATTCCAACAGCATTGCCAGGGGATAATATAACAGCAAAGTTAAGTGAATGACTTAACTTTTGTTTTATTTTATTTTACTTTATTTATTTTGAGACAGGGTCTCACTCTGTTGCCCAGGCTGGAGTGCAGCGGTGCAATCATAGCTCACTATAACCTCAAACTCCTGGGCTCTAGTGAGCCCCCTGCCTCAGCCCCCAAGTAGCTGGGACTACAGGCATGCACCACCATGTCCTACTAAGTCTTTACAACTTAACATTACACATTTAAAAAAACCTTTGGTAATGGGGCTTCGAGAAACACGACCTATTTTATGTATTTGTTTTGTTTATTTATTTATTTATTTGGAGATAGAGCCTCAAGCTGTTGCTCCTGGGTAGAGTGCTGTGGCATCACAGCTCACAGCAACCTCTAACTCCTGGGCATAAGCAATTCTCTTGCCTCAGCCTCCCAAGTAGCTGGGACTACAGGTGCCCGCCACAATGCCTGGCTATCTTTTGGTTGTAGTTGTCATTGTTGTTTGGCAGGCCTGGGCTGGATTCGAACCCATCAGCTCTGGTGTATGTGGCTGGCGCCTTAGCCACTTGAGCCACAGGCGCCAAGCCAACACGACCTATTTTACAGGACGGAGAACCCATGCCCCAGATATCTACAGCACCCTAAACTCAGGGTGGAAAGGAACACTGGTCAGTCCCTTGAGAAGAGAAACAGACCGAGGATTCTTCTCTACTTTCTTCTCCAAACTCCTTCCTGAGTGGTTGTGGGAAAAGAGCCATCATGAGTGCCATGGATTTGGTTACCCTGTGTCCTGATTTTCAGAGAGAGAACACAGATTAGCTAAATGGAGCCGGGCCACGCCCTTTCTGAGTGGGAAAATCAGGCCACTATATTCACAGGAAGAGTGGCACCAGGGGGAGGGAAGAGAAGGATGCTGGGTTTTCAAGATATACACAATAATATCCTCCTGGGCACAGATGCTCCCAGCTGGTTTTCACTGGATATTCCTTCTGTAAAGACAAAATTTGTGAGACCTAGCCTAGCCCTATGAAGACACATCCAACATGAAAACACTAGTCTTCATCACAATAACATTCATTTAGGGGCCAAAGCACACTGGAGTATGTTAAATCTTGGACACCATTTTCACACATAAAAATAACACTTTATTTAACAAAGTGCATAACTTACCCTCTTAAGAATCTAAGAAACATAAATAAAACCACTGTAAGTGTATTATTTTATTTCATTCTACCCTTTTTTAAATTAAAATTGAGAGTGAAATAATTATGTGCTATTTGGCATCAAGGAATGAAATATTATGTCCATTCTAATAATTAGTTTGGGCCAGGTGCGGTGGTGGCTCATGCCTGTAATCCCAGCACTCTGAGAGGCTGAAGCAGGAGGATTGCTTGAGCTCAGGAGTTCGCGACCAACGTGAGCAAGAGTGAGACCTACCTCTACTAAAAATAGAAAAATTAGATGGTGGTTGTGGTGGGCACCTGTAGTTCCAGCAACTCCAGAGTCTGAAGCAGGAGGATAGCTTAAGCCCAGGAGTTTCAGGTTGCCGTGAGCTAGGCTGATACTATGACATCCTAGCCTGGGGCAAAAGAGTGAGATTCCACCTCAAAAAAAAAAAAAATAATAATTTGTTTGTGCTTCATGGCTTCTGTACAAATTCTTAATTATACAAGAAAATATTCTACCTAAAGAATAGGAAGCATAATGTATTAATAGTAAACTTCACAGGCTGGGTACAGTGGCTCACGCCTGTAATCCTAGCACTCTGGGAGGCCGAGGGGGGATGATCGCTTGAGCTCAGGAATTTGAGATCAGTCTGAGCAAAAGCGAGACCCCCATCTCTACTAAAAATAGAAAAACTAGCCAGGCATTGTGGCAGGTAACTGTAGTCCCAGCTACGTGGGAGGCTGAGGAGGGAGAATTGCTTGAGCTCAGAAGTTCAAGACTTGCCTGAGTGAGAGTGAGATCCCCGACTCCTAAAAAAAAAAAAAAAAAAAGGAAAAACCCCAAAACCCAGACGGGTGCAGCAGTGAGCTCCTGTAATCCCAGCAGCTTCCAGAGGCTTAGCCAATGGAATGATCACAGTCCAAGTCTGAGATTGCAGTGAGCTATGACGCCACTGTACTCTGCTCAGAGGCATAGAGTGGGACACTGTCTCAACAAAAAAAAAAAAAAAAGAAAGAAAGAAAAGAAAAGAAAATGAGTAAATCCGTTTAGGCATCATTAAACTTCCCTGTGCATCAATTAGCTTTATGGGCTTGTCAAGAGTAAATAATTCTAGCCGGGCGCTGCGGTGGGCGCCTGTAGTCCCAGCTACTTGGGAGGCTGAGGCAGGAGAATCGCCTAAACCCAGGAGTTGGAGGTTGCTGTGAGCTGTGACTCCACAGCATTTTACCAAGGGCAATAAAGTGAGACTGTCTAAAAAAAAAAAAAAGAGTATATAATTCTGAAAATGCTAAAGAGAGAGATACAATGCAACACAAAATAACATTCCACTCATCTAACAGCCAGAAATGCAAACATCCCGGGTTTTAATCAGCAAAAGAAAGTCCATCCTCTGTGCAAAACATCCAAGGATTGTCTCTGGAATCTAGGTCCTCTATCTTACTGCCACCCATTAATTCCGGCTTTCATTACCTGTAGCCCATGCGACTATAGCCGCTTTCCAAAGCCCTGCTACCCAGGCTCCCCCGACTCCAGCCTGTTTCTGCATGGCCCTAAAAATGTTTCCAAAAAAGTGAAGAGGATTATTCCATGCTCCTTAGGAACAGCTCTGTTGGATCGGTTTCCTTCTGGATAAAGTCTAACTCCTTCATTCAGAATGCATGATAAATCATAATCTGGCCTCAACCTCTCTTTGGGATTTGTCGGTGTTTTTTCCCCTGCTTAACATCTGAATGTGCTTCCTACCTAGGGAACTCCCGACAGGGTCCACCATCCTCACTAAATTCTCCCTCTCCCCACCCTGGGATGGCCAAGTTATGAAGATAGGACCTAAGCCTTCCAGACAGGTGAATCCTGTGATGCAAAGACAAGAGAAGTTGAGAAGCTGAGACGTTAGTCTCAGTGAGGGCAGCAGTGTGAACTCAGAGCTGGTAGCACCCACAGCAGCACCCTGGCCATGTATTCCTGTGGCAATCCTCCGGCCAAGTCTTCCTGAAGCCAGACCTCGCTTGTTTCTTGTTAGGCTGGCCAAGTTAACTCCATCTCAGATCTGAAAAAACCATTCTGAGACTCTGTTACAGGAGGACATAGCGCAGATAAGGGCGACATGCTGCAGAGTCATCACCTTCTTGCACTGGTCCAGTTATAAACCCATAGAGACATGCTAACACCACAAGCCTCTGACACCCTGATAAGAAGAGCCCCCCAAGAGGGTCCCAATAATGAGCTGCACATCTCTGGTACTCTGATAAGAATAAAGCCAGCTGCTCTTCAGCTGGCCGTAAAAAGATCTGCCTCCCTGTCTAACGCTGCCCAACATCTCTTTAGATTTCAGCCCACTTGTATTCAAGTGTAAATAAACTTTCTGGCATGTTTGTTACATTTGGTCTCTTACATTTTGATCTGTGCCTCATTTCACCTATCAGTTCCCACCTGTTTTCCAAAGCTTGTTCTCTAGCTTTCCTGTCAATTATGAAATGACCAGTCATTCGATACCTACCTTTTTTCTCTAGTTCATCAGAGGAGCTTGCTACTGCGGGCAGCAAGGATTGTGACTGGTACTCTCATTTTCCCAGCCTCATTCCTCACCAATTCTGACCTCCTTGCTACCCCCATCATTCCCAAAGCTCATCGTGTACTTTTTAGAATTAACTGCTGTGAATCTTAAACCCTACCTACCCCGACCCCCCACACCCCAGAGATTTTAGCATTTTCAAGTGCGTTGTTTTTTCAACCAAGTATTCACTGAGCGTCTACCATGCTTTGAGTCTGCTGAAGGCAGCAGATAATCGGGGATGAATGAGACAAGGTCTTTGCCTTTGCTCTGAGTCATTCTGTAGGCACGGTCACCATTGGCATGAAATGACTTTCAGCACATCAGCACATGGCAGTGGTAGCGTAACAGGTCTCTGAGCAGAATTATAAGATGCTTTTACTGCCGTTGCCATGCCAGCCTGATGTCTGTCTCTTGTCCTGGGCCTCATTCTTCATGATCACCCTCTGCCACTGGACCCCGCCACACTGCCACAGCCTGTCTAGGCCTGCTCTTGCTGGTTATGCGTCACCATTTAAGTCGCCTTTCTTCAAACTTGTTATTCACGTAGCACAGGAGCTTTCACCTGGGTGCTAAAACACCTTAATATTTCGTATGAATGTAGGTTTGACCATCTTTGGGGCAGGTTATATTTTATTTATTTATTTTTATTATTTTTTGAGGCAGAGTCTATGTTGCCCTCTATAAAGTGTCATTGTGTCACAGCTCACAGCAACCTCAAACTCTTGGGCTTGGCTCAGCGCCTGTGGCTCAAGCGGCTAAGGTGCCAGCCACATACACCTAAGGTGGCAGGTTCGAATCCCCAGCCCGGGCCCGCCAAACAACAATGATGGCTGCAACCAAAAATGGCCAGGTGTTGTGGTGGGCGCCTGTAGTCCCAGCTACTTGGGAGGCTGAGGCAGGAGACTCGCTTGAGCCCAGGAGTTGGAGGTTGCTGTGAGCGTGATGCCATGGCACTCTACCCAGGGGGATAGCTTGAGGCTCCATCTCAAAAAAAAAAACTCTTGGGCTTTACGTGATTCTCTTGCCTCAGCCTCTCAAGTAGCTGGGACTATAGGTGCCCGACACAACACCTGGCTATTTTTCTGTTGCAGTTGTCATTGTTGCTTAGCTGGCCCAGGTTGGGTTCAAACCCACCAGCCTCTGTGTATGTGGCTGGTGCTGTAACCACTGTGCTACAGGCACTGAGCCGGGGCAGGTTATATTTTAAAAGGGATAATTCCTGCATATAAATTTCTAATGGACAACAGACATGTTTGAACAGGGATGTTCTCCCTGCGCAGCCTGCCTCCTGGGTATTACCACCAAGCCCAACCCCACCATACTGTAATCTTTTGCAACTGGAATATAATAAGATAATAGAGGGCTTTAAACCTAGTCTCCCAGTTATTTATTTATCTATTTATTTTCCTTTAGAGACAGGGACCCACTATGTTACTCAGGCCACTCTCAAATTCCTGGGCTTGAGGGATCCTCCGACCTCAGCCTCCTGGGGGCCTATGGGCACATACCACTGCATCCAGCTCTCTTCTACTCTTTTATAATTCCCCTTGTTAGGATATCGACCATTAATGCTGTCTCTAATCAAAAACTGTACTATTTTTTCTTTAAAAATTAGTGTAACGTGCCTTCGTGTCTCTTAAGAATTTAGCAGAATAATCCAGAGTGAGGGCCTGATAAAGAGCCAAGGGTTTCACATCAACTAAGTCCCACACTTTCTGGGCCCATCTCTGCAGATCAGATGCATCACCCAGGAGCTGGTCATTAAGAAAACATATCACATAGGAAGAATATTCCCACATTTCATTCTTGAGTTCCTGTAAAGGAAAAGAACAACAAAAATGTAAGGGGCAGGGAGAACCTTCTAAACACCTAAGCCAGAGCTAGAGATCAACTCTGGGTCTAAATGTTTCAACTCTAAGATTAAATCTTTTACAAATATATTTTTACCATCCTTCAGAGTTTTGCTCTCAGAAAGAATTTAAAAACATTTTCAGGAATCTGACATCCCTAAAAGCAAATGATGATCTAAAAAGGAGCAATCTCTACTGAAAAATAAATTTTAAAAAAGTATCACAAAAATGTTATAATTGAGGAGAAAATACCCCCTTTTTTTTTGAGACAGAGCCTCAAGCTGTCACCCTGGGTAGAGTGCTGTGCCTCACAGCTCACAGCAACCCCCAACTCCTTGCCTCAGCCTCCCAAGTAGCTGGGACTATAGGCACCTGCCACAACACCTGGCTATTTTTTGGTTGTAGCTGTCATTGTTTGGCAGGCCTGGGCCAGATTCAAACCCACCAGCTCTGGTGTATGTGGCTGGCACCTTAGCCGCTTGAGCTACAGGGGCCACCTGAGAAAGTACCCTTTTTATGTGAGGAATGTGAGCCCCTTTAAGTTATCAGGCCCAGAAAAGCATTTAAAGTGTAACGGCAGTCCCATGTCATTCCCCTTGAGCAAAATAACTACCTCTGGAAGCCACCTGCTGGACTAACAGATACCAAGCAGCCACAAAATCCCATCTACCTGTAGGTCAACAATAGACAGCCAATCACTACCCGATGTTATTTCTGTAAGCCAATGAGAATTCCTGACAAACTGCTTTTGTAATTGCCCCCTCTTCTGATTCATTCTTTTATCTTTTAAAATTTGAGCCTCTTCTCCCACCCAGGCACTCCCCAAGGCTGAAGTCCTCAACCTTACCCCAAATAAACTATATTAATTTTGCCTCAGTTTCCACCTTTTAGGTCAACACGCTCATAGGAGATAATGGTAATAAAAATCATTGTGTTTTCATCAACACATTGTTCACGGTCAACCTCCTAAATCCCTGGTGTATGGCCACTTAGTAACCTCCCCTCCAAGGAGACCTGGTTCCCAGTGCCAGTTCAGACAACACATAATTTAGGGGAGCCCTTCTCAAACCTTAGTGGGTAAAGAGAATCCCAGATTCCTGAGCCCCACTTGTTTTCCTGATTCTGGGGTGTAGTCTGGGAATTTGCATTTCTAACAATATCCCAGGAGATGCTGCTGCTGCTAGTCTGGAGATGGCACTTGGAGAAATACCGGTTTGGGCACAGTTTGCCTGCAGCTTGCCAACTTGATCCCTTCTCTCTGAGATTTAATATCCCATTGCTTGCTGCCCCAGGCTCTTTTCAAGACCTGCTTCCAGATGGAGAATAAACTTGTTCATTGGGAACTATTAATCTCTGATGGAGCTTACAGGTTAAGGACCCAAAACTTTAAAAAGCAGGGGGAAACTTTAATTGTAGATATTTTAGTTAGCCTGGTGAGAGAAATGTGGTAGAAAGTACGTTTTATTCAGAAGTTAAAGAGGTAAATGCCCTGTCTCTATCTCTTCTATACATAAGAAGACCACCTCGTCTGCCTGGAGTTAGCAGGCTGGACCTAAGGGTTTTCTAGGGATTTCCAGCACTGAGATGCACAATGCGAGATGCTGCCTTCTTAGGAGGGAAGACAAAGGCCTTCCCAGAGTCCCTGCAGCCATACTCTGGCGCTACAGTCTGCTGAAGCATAAGGCCCGTTGGACCTAGTGTGCTAAGAAGCACTGTGTCTAACACAAGGCACAAGGGCTCACATTGAAAAAGGATCCTCTGGCTCGGCGCCTGTGGCTCAAGTGGCTAAGGCACCAGCCACATGCACCTAAGGTGGCGGG